CTGACCGGTTTGAAACGGATCGGTTCAGGGGCGGTTTTACTGGGTCAACGTCGGTCCGGGTTCATATCGGTTCGGGTCATGAACGGATTATTTTGAAATGGGTCGGTTCAAGGGCGGGTTTACCCGAGTTAATGCTAATTCGATTCATATCGATTCGGTTTATACTCGGTTTGGTGCTAAAATCGTTTGGGTTAGTTTGGTAATCGGTTAATTGGATCGGGTTGAAATCGAGTTCTAAAAAGTGGTTTTGACCAGTTAGCGCATTTTGTTTTATATCAAGTTGGGACTAATATTTCCATTTCATTAGCGGGTCGGCATAGGTTGGTGAAAAAAATAATGGATCGAGTAAAAATTGGATTTTAAGAGATTTTTGACCGGTTAGCTATTTTCGTTTTATATAAAGTTGGGACTTCGTCACTTTATTTTCAGACATCGGATTATATACAATTACACAAATCTTCATTTATTCAATTATTCTATATCATGTTAATATGTTATTTTTCAAGTTTGGTTATACTCTTGTTGTTGTTTATTCGATATTATCATATTAGTCTATTACAAATTTATAATGTATTAATGTATTATTGTTTCATTATTAAATATATATTATTAGGTTATCAGCTTCTTGTTGGATTGTTTTAGATATCGTGTCATGACCATGTTTTGATGAGTTGCTACTTTGAATACGATAAATCGATTCAGATATCAGATTATATAGAATTACAGAAATTCTCATTCATTCTATATCATGTTAATGTGTTATGTTTCAAATTTGGTTATAGTCTTGTTGTTGTTTATTAAATATTGATCTATTACAAATTTATAAGGTATTAATGTATTATTGTTTCATTATCAAATATTATCAGGCTATCAGCTTCTTGTTTTAATTGTTTTAAAGATCGCGTCATAACCATGATTTGATGAATTGGTACTTTGAATACGATAAATCGATAATTGATATTGTAATAAACTAATAATTTAATGTTACAGAACTATATTTGGATGTTTAATTAAAATCACGATTATTCAATTTCCCATTAGTCTAATAAAGTAATAATTGACAATTGTTTGTAACTATTCCATAATTTTGGTGTTAAAGTTATATTGCTGAATTACTTTGTTGTCTTACCCTCTCTAATCACCTTTTAAGATTACGTGCCTACAAGGCTGCAACATATATATGTTGCAACTTGCAAGTTAAAGAAAACGGGTGGGGAAGTAGAAGTATTCAATTAGATCGATCATCAACTGTTTTAAGTTTTAATAATCAGATACATTTATCGATTATCTATACATACCAATGATAGTATGATACCAATCGTACCATACATTATTATTTATTACATATACTGATATACATATAACTAATTTACATTAAATATGTCATATTGAATCAATTCCAATTTCCAAACATTTGTGTTTCTTACAATTTATAAGTTACATAAAGTTAAGAGTACAGTAGTGTTTTTATTAGTACGTAGCTATGAATAAAAAAAAAACATACTATCCAAATCCATTATCCCATGATCCGTGTCACCGTCTTATATTAAATATCAGCCATTGATTTGCATGTCATCTAACGGCCTATCATCGCACACATTCCAATTCACGATCCGTGTGTTTTCTTTTCCACCAATCAGATCACTCTTATCATCGTCTCTTTAGTACTCTTTTTGATTTCTCTCTCGTTTTCTTAATCCTCTTCTGTAATATTATCAATTTTTTGAAGCCATGGCTGCTAATATGCTCACTGCTCCCTCGTTTTCTCTCTCATCTCCTCTTCCTTCTTCCTTTCTTCTTCTTCCTTCTTCTCCCTTCTTCCGTCTATGTTCTCCTTTCTTCCATCTCGTTTCTCCGTCTCCGTCCACCGGCACCACGCACGACGGTTTTTATGGTCAAATTCGACCACGAAACTCTAGATCTAGTTGTTTCATGATCGAATTTGGCCTTTTAAAACCAAATTTGAGGCCAAATTCAGGATTAATATATAAGGTGTTTTCGTTCTTCCTTTTTTTATTTTCTGTTTTTCTTTTTAATTTTTTTTCAAGTTGTGGGCAACGGAGGGGGCCGAGTTAGGGTGGGTGCGGCGGCGGTTAGACTGGGTTCGGGTGGGTGGGGAGGGAGGATTTTTCGAGGGAGGGAGGGAGTTTTATGGTGGGTGAGCAATTAGAGTGAGTTGGGGGGTTTCGAGGATGTTGGGTTTCGTGGGGGTGGGTGGGGTGGGGTTACGGTGGGTTTGGGTTTTTTTCGATTTTTTTGTATGGGGTGGGGTGGGGTGTGTTACGGTGGTGGTGGGTGTGGTTGGGGTTGGGTCTGTTTTTTTTTTTTTTTTTTTTTTTTTTTTTACAGTGACGGTGGTGGGTGGGGTGGGGTGGGGTTTGTTAAGGGGGTGGGGTGGGGTACGTTACGGTGATGGTGGTAGGTGGGGTGGGGTATGGGTCTGGGTTTTTATTATTTACGGTGACGGTGGTGGATGGGGTGGGGTAAGGTTTGGGTCTGGGTTTTTTTATTTACGGTGGGTGGTGGGGTGGGGTGGGGTGGGTTACGGTAATTATGGTGGGTGCGGGGGTGGTGTTAGGGTGGGTCTGGGTTGACGTTGGTGGGGTGGGGGTGGGTTACGGTAACGGTGGTGGGGTGGGGGTGGGTTACGGTAACGGTGGTGGGTGGGGGTAGTGTTAGGGTGGGTCTGGGGTGATGGCGGGGGTGGTGTTAGGGTGGGTTACGGTGGTGGGTGGGTGGAGGGTGGTTGGATTGGGTGGGTGGCCAAATTTTTTCATTTTTTTATTTAATTTATAACTCCTAATTTAGTTATACAAGAATATAATTTTAATTTTGTAATAGCAAAAAAATTTACAAATTTAAATCAATAATTATATGTAAAAAAAATTGTATAGTTAAATTACATTAAACATCAAATATATTTCGTGGAATTCTAACAAATTGTTAAAGGCTGCAAATAGTTCAATTTGAATGGAACGGGTTGTAAACGGTTCGGTTTAAATAGTTTGTAATCGGATCGATTTAAACGGGTTGCGGTTTGAAAATAGTTCGGTTTAAACGGTTTAATGGGTTATAACAGTTCGGTTTAAACGGTTAGCGGGTTCTAAATGGTTCGATTTAAGCGGTTTTTTCCTACGGTTTAAACGGTTTCGGTTTATAAACGGTTCGGTTTAAACAGTTAGCGGGTTAACATTAATCGGTTCAAACGGTTTCGGTTTATAAACGGTTTGGTTTGTTATTGGTTTACGGTTCGTAACGGGTTAACATTAATTGGTTCGGTTCGGTTTCGGTTTGACATTATACGGTTCAGTTTGGTTTTCGGTTTAAAATTAGCGGGTTATAAACGGTTCGGTCCGTGATGGTTCGGTTCGGTAACGGACGGTTTCACGGTTCGGTTTGAAAAGTCCCACCCCTATATCCATGTAAACTTTATGAGATCCTATTATTCAGTATTTTTTTTTCCTAATTACTCCTACGTGGTAGTATTCATTTTGGCAACATGCACATTTAATTTAGTATCCAACCCCATCTTGTGAACATGCATGCACACTCGTAATTGTCGTTTTCAATTATCCTCCTTGATAACGTAATATACTCTCACATTAATCCAATCAGGCAAATCTGCAATTAGCCAATAATTATGATATTATTTAATTTGACTGGGATAAGTCGTTATTCATCAATTACGAAATTAATGTGCATATCACTCATAATAATTCAGAATTGTTAAGATTATTTCAAATTTAATATATATATATATATATATAAAAGGGAGTTTTTTCCCGAGTTTTTAGAGAGTCACGTAGGATCTAATTTTCTCAGCGCCACGTAGGATTATAAATCTTAGTAGTAGCCAATTAAATAAGAGATTATTAATTTCTTTTAGAATTAAATAATTTAAATGCCATGTAAGCAAAATTGGCGAATGAGATTTTTAAGTTTAAATTAATTAAATATTATATATTATCTTTTAATACTAGGAATTTTATCTAAATATATAACAAATTTTAGGCTCATAAATACAAAAAAAAAATTATTTAAAAACACCAAACAAACCGTGCATCGCACGGGCTTCATCTAGCTTATTAAATTTATGAGCAGGACAATCATGGATAAGTACATTTCAATATGCGTGTATGTATTATAATTACAACTATGTATATATACGTTATTCTATTTAATCAATTTAGAGATAGGAAGGATATAATTAGACAATGACCAATTGACCATATAATATCATGATATGAGTAATAAATATTCCGTAAGTCCGTATAACATACTCTCTAACTGTTATATAACTTAATCTATATAGAATAAATTAAAATGGATCGATATCATCCGGTCATTTTATATACTCCAATAATGCGTATATTATTATGTGTTCACATAGATAAATCATTTTAAGCTAATTAATTTCGCAAAAGTATTTTTATTTTCCAATTAATTAGATAATACCGAGCTATATATCAACATTAGCATTACTTTATTTTTTCCAATAATGCGTTCAATTAGATAAAACATAATACCCCTCACATTCTAACTTCTAAGCTACTATCTATTTAAGCTAATTTCGCAAAACCATTTTTTTTTTCATTAATTAGATAATACCGAGCTATATATCAATATCACCATTAGCATTACTTTATCCATCTCAACTTATTTGCCTCATAATTATCATTGAGCCCTTAAATTAAAATATCTATTATTTATTTAATTAGTTAAATAGCGGATTAAACATAGTTTGATATCCCCAAGTTTGATATATGTCTAAAAAATCATGGAATTACAAGCTGTCAAGTTACTGAGTAAGATAATTTCCGTCCCAAAAAAAAAAAATAATAATAATTTAGATGGATAGTGATACAGTCTGGATGGTTGACACATGATAGACATCAAGGGTCATTATCTTATTTATAATCCAATATTAGCAAATAATTAAAATTTACTATTTACACATATAAATTACACTATAAATACCTCTTTTTAGATATCATTATAAACATAACATTTCTTCTCATTTACATTTCTTGGTCTCATTCTCTATTTCGTTGGCAGCTTCTACTCTGAGGTCAATTAAGGTTGATTATTATGTTTATAAAATTTCTTTTGCATTTACTACTTTTTATCTATTTTAATTCGATTTCACTAATAGTTATTTAAGGTTAATTCATCATTATAAAATTATGCTTAAAAAATGAGGCCTTGATAATATATGATGCATTGCATTTACTACTAACCATTTATATGTACGTACCATAATTGGCCTTAACGCTGAATACCCATCACCATAATGAAAATCGTTATCATGCTACAATAACAATCAACTTGCTCTTTTATACTATATAATAAATCCTTGCATTATTTCTCTTTCAAATTTACTCTTTTCTGATTTCTCTTTTATATTTTAAATAGGTTGTCAAAGAAAGGTACAAGAAGATGGTTTATTCTAAGCGTAGTTATGATCATACGATGGTTTGGTTATTAGTTGGAGCATTAACTATTTTCCAAGTTTGCTCGGCTCATAATGACCTAAAGGTTATTGATAATCGGTATACCACTGCATCCCTCTCCGTGGATGTTTCTAAAGGGCGTCAAATATCTCCCGTCTTTTTTGGTATCTTTTTCGAGGTATATATAACTCATTCTTTTTTATTATCGTACATTCATACTCTATAATAATTAATATTACTCTCTCCGTCTCATTTTACATATTTTAATAAATCCAGTTAATAACACTATATTTTAATTATAAAACTTACATTTCTTTTTAATCCTATTCCTTTATCAGGAGATCAATCATGCCGGAGCTGGTGGTTTATGGGCGGAGCTCGTTAGTAATCGAGGTGACTACATTACATTGATAGAGCCTAAATTAGTAATTGCTTTAGTATTATCTCATTAACTATATGTTTGATGACATGAATGTTTAGGATTCGAAGCCGGAGGTCGCTACGTTCCTTCGGCAATTAGTCCTTGGGGTAAGATTGGAGATGATGAAGCAATATACGTAGTAACAGAACTATCATCATGCTTCAAAAACAACCCCGTTGCCGTTCGTATGGATGTACTTTGTGACCAAAATACTTGTCCACCGGGAGGTGTCGGACTCTATAATCCCGGGTATTGGGGAATGGTAAGTAATAAGTGTTTAATTCTTATATGATCTAATAATTCGTATTGATTAAGTGCCTAATCCAATAATTTAAAATCTTTGTAGAATATCGAAGAAGGCAAGAGTTACAAAGTGGAATTTCACGTTAAATCATCTGGATCACTTGATGGTGTTATATCATTTGTTAGTGACGATGGAACTCAAGTACTTGCCTTCCAGCGTGTTAAGTAAGTACATATACTTTGTACATAATACATTATTTTTTTTTTAATGAACCATGTTTAAATTGACTCGTATATATTTGGTATGATCATATGTACATAGATTAAATAGATTATAAACCAATATTTACCCAAACTATATTGGCGTAATCCAATTTTAATGCGCCTAGTTATCGATTTATAGTTGGTATGTTTTAAATACGGAGTATTAAATTTTCAATTCAATGTATAACTCAAAGACATGACTTAACAAAATGAAGGACTTATTATATATTTCTCATGGTATGTTAATTAAATTGTAGGGCTGATGCTGAAAAAGTTAAGGATTGGACAAAAATGGAGTTCACATTAAAAGCTAGAGGATCATATAAAAAAGCTAGACTTCAATTCACTACCAGTCAAAAAGGAACTATTTGGCTTGATCAAATATCTGCTATGCCTATTGACACATACAAGGTGAAATTTTCTTTCCTTAAATTTGTTTAATTATTTTTTTAATATTCGATTTAATTTCTTTTATTATTGGATTTAAGACTTAAATTTTGAATTAATTTAATTGAATTTTTTTGCTTAGGGACATGGATTCCGAAACGATTTGATGGAAATGCTTCTCAAGCTCAAGCCTAGATTCCTTAGATTTCCTGGTATTTTTCATAATTTTGGGATAAATTAAATAATATCTTTAAATAAAAGTAAATAAAATACTTAATGAAACATTAAAATGCAGGTGGGTGTTACGTTGAAGGTAATTTTCTAACCAATGCCTTTAGATGGAAGGAAACTGTTGGTCCATGGGAAGACAGGCCAGGACATCTTGGGGATGTTTGGAATTATTGGAGTGATGATGGACTTGGTTATCTTGAATATCTTCAGGTACTTGCCAAATATATAATATACTCCATCCGTACCATTTTGCTATAATATATATAAATTTTATAACAAAAATATAAATAGTAGTTTCGTAATACGATTTACATTCTTTTTCTAAAACAAAAATATTAATTACTTGTAATCGTAATACTCTGTACATTCTTTTTTCCAGCTAGCCGAAGATCTAGATGTTGAGCCTGTGTGGGTTGTCAACAATGGTTTGTTAAATGTTCACTCTTTAATTGTACACTTTAGGCTAATTTTCTTTTCTATGAAACTAATGTATATGATCTTATTGCAGGAATTGGTCTCAAGGATCAAGTTGATACCTCTTTAATTGCCCCTTTTGTACAAGTAATGTTATAACATTGCAAAAATGATTTTATTATTATTATAAAAGTATATTATTATCGTTGACTCAATATTTGTTATGGAAAAATAGGAAATGTTGGACAGTGTCGAGTTTGCTAGAGGTAGTCCAAATTCGACATGGGGTTCCCTTCGTGCAAAGTTGGGACACCCAAACCCATTTAAATTGAAATTTATTGCTTTTGGAAATGAGGGTTGTGACTTAAACAGCTACACGGGTACAATTTATTTAACAAATTTTTGTACTAGCATGCATCTATATATAAATTCACTATTTTAATGATCTATATATAAATTCACTATTTTAATGTATTCCACAGGAAATTATCTTAAGTTTTACAAAGCCCTAAAGAAATTATATCCGGACATCAAGGTGATCTCAAATTGTGATGCAACACAGAAGCCCTTAGATCATCCTGCCGATATATATGATTTTCATGTAATATTATTTCCAACCATTAATTACGTTTTTTTTCAAAAAATAAAATATTAAAGCATATTTCATATTTCACATCTAAATAAGTTGGTCTAATCATGATTTTCAGAGATATACAAATATTCCGGATATGCTTAATCTCACCCATCTATTTGGGAAGGTTAAAAGGGATCCTCTCGCACCAAAGGTATGCAATACATGTCATAAAAAATATTATGTTAATAGGTAGTATTAATCGGTACCCTCCTCGTACTTAGTTCTTATTGAAAGTTTAAGTTATTGGATAACATATAATTTTAACTTGCAGGCTTTTGTTAGTGAATATGCTGTGATATACCCAAAAGATCAAATGATGAATGGATCATTTGGGGCAGCATTAGCCGAAGCAGCTTTTTTGCTATCATTAGAGCAAAACAGGCACCCATATCTCACTTAGCTTATTCATTATAAAGTACTTTAATTTCCCACCAGTAATCTAAATTGATTTTATGTTTATGTTTAATGATTGTAATGCAGTGACATTGTTGAAATGGTGAGCTACGCCCCACTATTCGTAAACCAGAATGACAGAACGTATGTACATGCTTGATGATTCAATATAGTTCGTACGTATATAACATAATTTCATAAAATAATTTTTTTTTTTTTGGTTTATTCGATAGATGGAATCCAGACGCGATTTTCTTCAATACATACAAAGTGTTTGGAATAGCTAGTTACTGGGTTCAAACATTTTTTAAAGAATCAAGTGGAGCGACACTGTTAAATATTCATTTCCATAATCACTCAAAGCCTGAGAATACATATGTTTCAGCAATAAGTTGGAGTGATAAGTTGGATCAGAAGAATTATATAACTGTGAAGGTTATTAAAATTTTAATCTCAACCTTTTAACTATAATCAATTCATATCTCGTTTTAACTCAAATATTTTAATCGTGTAGATTGTGAACTACAACAATGTAACGGAGAAGTTGAAGATTTCATTTGATGGAATTGATCCTAATTCCGTTAAATTGTGGAAGAAAACAGTACTTACCAGTGAAAATTTGCAAGATGATAATACGTTCGACAATCCTACAAAGGTATGAACTTTAATTTGCTTTATTACTAATAATCAATTAATTAGGAATATCTTTGATAATATTGTTTTGTTTTGTACCAATTTTATTACACTTTCTAACGTAGTAATTTGTAATGTATAATTGCTAGGTGGTGCCAATATCAACTCTACTCAAAAGCGAAGTAGGAAAAGACATTGTTCTTGAAGTCGAACCATACTCGTTCACAGCATTTGATCTGATCAATAGCGCACAAATTCCAAAACTCGAAGCCAACCAAACTAATCAAGTATAAGCAAGTGAAATTCCATAGCTAATAAAGAGACTTCATATCTTGGAAATATTATACACGATTTGGTCACTCAGTTCTTTAGAAGTTTAGTCGTTTAGATTTTCTTTTAAAAGTTTATAGCTTTATCATCCCTTTTGGGTTGGCAATAATGTTAACTATAGTTTTTCAATTGTAAAGGATAATTTATTTTTCTAATATATGAAGATATTTCTCTTGCTTATATCCGTTAAAGTTATCCAAAAATGAAAAGTCATCCCAATATGAATAAAAGTTACCTTGGCATAAATAAAAGTTACAAAATATTAGTTACTTTATTTAAAAGTAACCCAAAAAATTGTAAAAGTGACTTCAAATTTGATAAAAGTGACCCCGATGTACTTGATGTTTAAATATTTTTTTCTCTAATTTTTCTTGTTTTTAATACAATTTGTTGTTCTATTCTTATGGTTTTGATGAAAATAGTTGTTCTAAATAGGCATTTGTTTGAGTTAATTAAAATTTAGCTTCAATTGCGCTGATGTTTGTTGAATTAAGTGTTATGTTGCTGCTACAATTTTTTTTGTTAAATTTCCGCATTGATTTACTGAATTTTTTTCCTGAAAGAATTTTGTACGACTAATGGTGTTATTTCATATTAAGAATATATATCATCATAAATGTTTTGCTCATTTGGCCTTGTGCTCTTGTTAAAAATGCATGCCGGTAGAATCCCTTTTAAGGATAAAAAGTATTATTGAGGGGTTCCTGCATGATTAATAGCCAATTGCTTTTATTAATTAGGGAATTCTAGCACAATTTCTGTACTTTATTAATCTTTTTGTTTGGAAATAAGGTATAAAATTGATTATTATTGTAGACTTGTAGTCCTTGTAGAAATTTGAGTTAAATAGCCATCCGAGACCGGGGATTCCATGATTATTATCACGTTGTGTATGCCTCTAATTCATAGTTTATAATTAATTATGATGTTTATTTATTGATATTTTTAAATTGATTTTCTATTGGTTGACGGCACGTAATAGAATAAATAAGGTCATATCGTGATACTTTTATATAATTATAGTTGCAAGTATGAAATTGTGATTTCAGTGATTTTGTTTGGGTTTTCTCCTGGATATATGCTACTTAGAGTTTACAAATTTTTCCCTAAACTATAGTGTATGCAGCTTTCCCTACACCCCCTCTTCAAACTACGTCGTTTCACTGTTGTCTCTACCACCTCACACACCCAATAACAATCCGATCTCCACAATCCACTCACCAATGCAATAAGAGAAATTAAAAGAATTATGAGCACTAATAATAACCATATAATCCAAATATCAAAAGAAAAAAAAACTGCATTTTCATAAATTAGTAAAATATTGCAGAAGGATACATAGATCAAGCAAAAAAAAAGGGGGCAAAATTATCGAACTCTAAGGGTCTGTTCACATTTACTTAATTTCAGTTCAGTTTAGCTCCAATCAGTTCAGTTCATTTCAGCTCCAATCAGTTTAGTTCATCTCCTAATTTCCTTCTCTCATAAAATATTCATTTCAGCTCACTTCAGTTCAGCTCCAATCAATTCAGTTCAACATTATTGCATTTTCTAGGCCCAACAAATCAAACCTTTTAAGTCTTAACGATCCCTATAAATTTAGATGTTAGCATCTGTTGAATTATTTGTTTAACCAATAAATGAAAATTAATGAAATTCTTTTTCTTCTCGTAAAAAAAAATAAATAAATAATAAAACTATTATAATTGTGTACTTACATGGACTCTTAAGTCAAATTTTTTTAAAAAGGACCACTAACGGAAAATCGTTAAGTGGTAGCAAAATCTAATTTTTGTGTGTTTTTACTTTTTAGTGGTAGTAAAATACAAAGTGGTGTTTTTTAATGGTAGTAAAAGTCAAAATTTTCAAAAAAAAAAAAAATTAAATAAAAGTAAATAAATGAATAAAAAAGAACATAACAGACTAATAAAGCGGAAAAAAAGTTGTTAAAATATTTAAGTTCTCTGTTACCGTCTAATAGTGAATTGTGATCCAACATCTGTGACAAATACTAGTCATTCAACTACCCTATACTTCTCAATTTGTCTCCTTATTAATAAATCACAAACTCATTAGTCAGTCATAGATTTACTGCAAGAGTCCCATCCTGATTTTTGTTCAGCAAAAAATTTCTCATAGTCTTACTAATCCTTCAATGTTAAAAGGTAACCATGAAGAGGCTAGTACCTGTAGCTGATGGAAATGGCCAGGTGAATGACAACAATGTATATGTATGAGTATTTTTGTAAGACTAGGAATAGTTTGGATTATTTACATCAAATTTGCCTTTTAGAATTAAGCTCTAAATTAAAAGTTTGTCAATTACAATTTGTTCTTCCAAAAAAAAAAAGTACAAATTGCTAAAAGGTATTTAAAAAAAAAAAAAAATTGGAGAGCCGAATGTTATGATTAGAACATGGCCTCTAAATTTGTGAAATGGAGTAAAATTTCTTATTTATCAACAATTTCAGTGACCAAATTTTTTTTTTTTTTTTTGACAAATAAAAGGATCATATATTTTACAGAGCTTTTTTTGGTGCAGCAGGTCACACCGTGTGGCCTGCTGCCAATACAGTAAAAATAACGGAGTCTGACGCGCTTATAACGGAGTTACTATTCACGCGCATAACGGGGTTACTGGTTTTGTCAGGGTTACTTGTATTTTTCAGGGGTTACTTGTATTTTTTTTTAGGAGTTACTTGTATCTTTTTTTTCAGGGTTTACTTGTATTTTTTTAGGAGTTACTTGTATTTTTTTAAGGGGTTACTTGTATAGATTACTTATTCAAGGGTTACTTGTATTTTCAGGAGTTACTTGTTTTTTTTTTTTTTTTGTAGTTACTTGTTTTTTTTAGGGGTTACTTGTATGGATTACTTACTCAAAGGTTACTTATATTATCAGGTGTTACTTGTATTTTTTTTCAGGAGTTATTACTTGTATTTTTTTTCAAGGGTTACTTTTTTTTTTTTTTTTTTATTAATTCAGGGGTTACTTATATGAGTTAATTCAAGGGTTATTACTTGTATGAGTTACTTATTCAAGGGTTACTTATTTGAGTTACTTCAAAGGTTACTTGTATGAAAAACTTATTCAATGATGACTTGTTACTTATTCAAGGGTTGCTTGTAGGCTCCATACCAAACCAGTAACACACTAAAAGTAACCCCTAACCAAACTAGTAACACCCTACAAGCTAAGTGAACCCTGACCAAACCAGTAACACCTTACAAGTAACCCTTGACCAAAACCAGTAACACTCTACAAGTAACCCCTGACCAAACCAGTAACACCCTACAAGTAACCTAACCCCTGACCAAAACCAGTAACACCCTACAAGTAACCCCTGATCAAAACCAGTAACACCCTACAAGTAACCCCTGACCAAACCAGTAACACCCTACATGTAAACCCTGACCAAACCAGTAACACCCTACAAGTAACCCCTGACCAAACTAGTAACACCCTATAATTTTTGACGTAGAATGTTCGATCTAATTAAGATTCCACGAAGAAAACGAGCTCAAATTTCTTTGGTTCTCATAGATTTCACTAGTTCAAATGTTGTTGATGATCTTAAGGATAATTAATCACAATTTTTCACAACAATTTGACACCCAGTTTCTACAATTTCGGGCTTTAAATTGCAGCAATTTAGCAAAGAGGAGAGAGAAAATGGGTAGAGTAGAGATATGGTTGTTGGTGATGTGTGGTTTGACTTGAAGAAAAAAGCTAAGAAAAGAGGAGAGAGAAATGGGTGGAGTAGAGATAAAGTTGTTGGTGATGTGTGGTTTGGCTTGGAGAATAAGCTAAGAAAAAAGGAGAGAGAAGAGTTGTAGTATTTAAAAAACAAATAAAAAATAAAAATTGTGGTGTGACCAACCACATATAAAAATTTGTGTATATTTTATTAAAGCTAAAATAAAATTAGAATTTGTAGAGTAATGTACAAACTCCATAGTCTTTTAATATATATATGCTTTATAATTTTTTTGTTAGAAACAATATAGAGTTAGTATCTATTATAATTTCTTTTTTCAAGAAGTTGCATAACCATATAATTTATTTTATTTTGAGTAGTATGAATATATGATTGTGAATTTGTAAACTATAAAAGCAACCAAAAAAAAAAAAAACGGCGTCGACAAAAGTTTATTTTTAAAGTGAATTAATATGAATACTAAATACGAAGATTTATTTTACTATTGTAAAAACATCCATTATAAATATTTGTAAAGTGAATTACAATTTCACTACTTAAATTTGCACAGTTACACATACAACGGTGAAATAATTTTGACACACCTAAAAGTTATTTTAACATACCTATTGTGAGAGCATATATGTTTAGGTGTGTCAAAATCAATTTTCTTACAAAATGTCGTTGTGTTCATTTTTTTAATTGCGAATAATCACAACAACAATAGTCCTTTTGGCATTCGCCCACTTTATGTGGACATTGAGGGTTACATAAATCTGGAGTACAACCTGGAAAACGTATATTACATTGGAAGTCATTTGCTCCAATGTGTTGAAGGAACACTTTGTCAGACCTTGAACTCATAGCACTAGAACTTGCAATTATCAGTAATTTTGAAGATTTTGCATACCCGACTTTTTTTTTATTATTACTCCGTACTTTTCTATCAAAAATAAAAGTAATTAAAAAAGTATTAATTTTTTTTTTATTATTGAAAGTAACATATTTATATATTTAATTAAGGGTAACATGTTAATAAGGTTTTAACACGTATACAATTTTAAATAAAATTTTAACTTGTAATTCTATAATGTTTTAACAAGTATAAAATTTTAATCATTATCTGAAAATTTCTATTAAATTAAATTTTATTAAGTACTACGTGTAAAACTAGGAAGCATAATTATAATTCTTGATAGGGAGATTTATCAAACTTTATATTGTATAACACTTACCACAAGATAGAATAACTAGTAGCACTAGCATGAGAGACACAAATAACGTCTTTCCAGCCATTTGTTATAGCTTATTGCTTGTTTTCAGAGTTATGGAGATGAAGAAATTGAATTATAACTTAAGTATAAAGAACAAGCAATGTGAGTAAACTCTATACTTTTGGCCTCCTTATATACGTAGATTATGACATTATTGTTGATTCTCTAATAATTATGTAGATTATGACATTATTGTTGATTCTCTAATA